TCATACTTGACCTGCTTGTAATTCAACCACTGCGAGACACCTCCCGCCTTGCCCTTCCTCATACTTCACTGCCCAAATGCTGCCCCATATCAAATCCATACCTGTAGCACCTGAACTAATGAATTGCTACCAACTCTAAACCTCCTAGAAGATCATCTTTCTTGAGCCATCAGCATTCGAAGCACCAGTTCGATGCCGAAATCGCTACACATCGCCATCTCTGACAATTGCTTCTTAGACACTATTTCACCACACTCTACCCCTAAGGCAAATCGAAGAAGACCATAACATTGGTGAACCTTAATACGTTCAAACAAGGATGACGACACCACATCACAAATGAGAATTCCACCACGCTCGAACATCTCAAGTCTCGTTACTTCATCAACCAAGGCCTGAACATCCATAGTCCGATTGTCTTTCCTCCGCTGGAATTAAATGCCGACCCCTAAACCATGTGCTGAAAAATCCCCCTTTCGGATCATTCACTGCCTCGACACATAGACAAGCACCCTATCATTACACCAACACTATGCGATAACAATGCATGAACCTCATAGCAATCTGTGCATAGCCTCAAAACCATAGGCAATACTGATACAGGGCATGGAATGACATAACCCCCTTTCACAAGACGACGATAATAACTCTCTCGAGTACGTAGGGAAAAATATCCTGCACCACATCTGTAGTACCATTACAAGTCATATTAATGCCCAATTGATAACAAGCACCCCACATCGCATAAGGTTGAGTAGGAAGGAAATAAAGGCATAAGCCTCAAAGGAATCAAATCGCACGATGAGGAATCAAGAAGGGAAGTGCTCCTAGCAACCCTGTAGCCTCTCGAAGATAAGTACAGACATTTCCGTACTGATCCGCAAGACTCTACTAGAATTGCTCATGACTCATGAGATCTAAGTGAACCTAGATACCAAGCTGTCACGAACCAAAATCTACTATACGTCGTAATGGCGCCTAACGCCGCCATCAGGCAAGCCAACGGTAATTTACCAATTTGATTACTCATTTTATTACTTTTGAAATCACAATTTTAATAAGAAAAGGAGATTTATACTTCTAAATCCATAGGAACGTACAACCTTTGTAGTTTATAAAAGAAATGAAAGGCGATAATAATATACGAAACCATAAGCATCAACTAGTATAACCACAAGACCCGGTATCACAAGTGCATGAATATTTCTAATGAGTACAATAATAATACAACATCGGGCTCGCAGATGCAGAAATATCCTCGCATCTGCGGCCATCTCAGCTCAGTCCAAATGTCGCTTCTGCGACCACAAGGCCGCACCTACATGCTCGCACCTGCGTCCCTTTCCACGCAGGTGCGATTGCACTAGCTGCCTCAGAACTTCTCCCAAACCTAAACTCGATCTGTTTTCTATCTGATCCGCACTCGGGGCCGTCCGGACCCCATCTAAACATACCAACACATCCCAAAATACGGCACGAACTTAGTCGAAGTCTCAAACCATGTCAAACAACATCAAGATTATGAATCAATGATCGAAACCTTTCTTTAAACTTTCAAACTTCGTCGAACGCATCTGAATCACTCTTAAACATTTCGGAATGACGCCAAACTTTACGCACAAATCATAAATCACAATACGAACCTATTTCAAGGTTCGGAGTCTTAAACGGATATCGATAACACCAAAGCCTACTTCAAACCAAACTTGAAAAATCCTTAAACCTTTGAAATGCTAACCTTCCATAATAAGCGCTGAAATGCTCCCGGACCACCCGATACTCAATATGAATATACATCCAAGTCCGAAATCATCATACGAACCTGTTGGAACTTTCAAATCCCGATTCTGAGGTCGTTTACTCAAAAGTCAAACCTTATTTAATTCTTCCAACTTAAAGCTTCCGAAATTAGAATTTTCCATCCGAATTAACTCTGAACTTCACAAAATTCAATTCCGACCACACGTACAAGTCATAATACCTGAAGTAAAGCTACTCAAGGTCTCAAACCATCGAATGGCACGCTAGAGCTCAAAATGACCGGTCAGGTCGTTACATAGACCACATATAATGGTTTCTATTTTATTCTGTTTTATTTTGGCAAACAAAATTAGCAAATAAAAATATTTAGATAGGGATTCAAACCCACTAACAATACCTCACTTTAAACACCCTAGATCGCTGAATTACCTCACTCAACTGTGTTAAGGGTATTCGAAATATAATATATATATATATATATATATAGCCATATAAAGCAATATCTGACCTATATATACAGTATAATTATCCGACAAAGGGTGTTCGCTTGACCACCCTTGACATAGTGTGGCTACTATATATATATATATNAAAGAAAAAACAAAGGTGTTTGAACTTTACAAATACTGCATGTGCCCTCTCATTCTAGCTTTGCTTTTTAACGTGATTTTCTCCACAGGAACAATACAGACAAGAATGGAAGAAAAAGAAGATGATGGAAACTCTGTGAAAATTGTTAAAAGAAAAAGAAACAAGGAAAGGGAAGGATGGGTGAAAAATCATAAAAGAAACAGACCAATCATCACCATTTTCGTTGACACCAAGAAATTGACTCTCTCAAGCAACGGTTGAGTGAAGAAAAGAAAACAAGTTTCACTCATTTTGTACATGTCGTGCTTCTTAATTAGCTCATGTTAATTCTCTTCATTTTTACTGTTCTCTTTCTTTTTTTACTGTGCTCATTTTTTCCCCATAGCACACAAGATCTCAGCTATGTGAATTTAAGTAATAACACTAATAGTGGCATCTAACGGTGTGGTCTAGTAGTCAATAAAGTTGATTGAGAATTATGAAGTCTTAAGTTCAAATCCCTGCTAATAGAGGCAAACACACTACATGTAAGTGATTTTGGAGACGGAGTTATCTGGCACCTGTGATACTGGCGCCATTAGGAGGTAGCAGGTCCCAGTAAAATTAGTCGAGATGCACACAAGCTAATCCGAACACCACAATTAAAAATAATTATATACACTGATAATATACAGTTTCTAAGTATCAATACAATTTAAGCAATGCCAGTTATGCCTCTATTTTTAAAGTTACCGTGTAAAACTTGTTATTAAAAATTACCTGTTACATATATATGTAAACGTATATTATAGCATAAAAAATTATACACTTTCAGTGCACAGTCTTGAATATTTTTTAGTTCTTTCCCTCTCTATTTAGTTCATTTTTCTTTAGTCTTGGGAGAGAGAAGAGGCTAGAAACACAAAGTGATTTCTTTTCATATGTTCAAACCTTGATAGATAGAATTATTCGATACTTATGCGATGGAAGATAACATTTAATACCATGTAAAATTAATCGATATACGTACAAGTTGATCCGAACATCATTATTTAATTAAATGAAAAAAGAGAGAGATACTTAAAGAAGATTCTTGTTTGTGTTGAAATTGGATGCTAAGAAATATATGATGATGTCGATCTTATTCAAAATCATTAGGTCTTCCCCTAAATGGACATACTATCACTCATTCCCCAACAATAATGACTTGTCTTTTGTTCAACAGGGTAATAACTGTTGTATAATGATCTAAAGTAAGAATATCATACCATTACATAAAGTAAGATTTTTGTACACAGTTTCGTTAAATAACATCATAACTTGTCATTTTTTTAAGAATTATTTGGACGCATTTTCAAAAAAATAACATCATAACACTAGAAATCTGACATTATAGTATACATTGTCGTGTCCGTCGGCAGGCTTTAATTGGTAAATTTGTTGCCTATGTTAAAAACATGTCTAAAATAAAAAGTCAATCTCATCAATGGCACATTAAAAGTGAAATTGTGTCTTTACATATTTGACTCATAATTGTACTCTTCTTTTCTTTATTTGTTTTCCTATTACGCAACTATTTAAGTATACATGTAACACTTATGACTAAGCCAGCTGCGTTAGTTTTTTGAGACAAATACATAAATATAAGTGTTTGGGAAAAGCCGTTGATGTAGGTCGAAAATAATTGTATCATGAAAAATGTGGTTTTCATTAGTCGTTTATTATATATTTCCTTTCACCTTTTAAATGGTAATTAAGACCTTTCTTGTATTAGGGTTCATATTTTTCAACGTCATTTTGCCCTTTAGGAATATATACATGCTTTATTGGTCCACAAAAGCAAAACAAATTAACAAACTATTTTTGCATAAGGAATTAACTTATGTACAAAAGGTTCCCGTGTAATTTAACATGTCCTTGGTTACTTTATTTAATTTCAATGTTACTAACTGCGGTTATTATTTTAAATTATATTAGTTACTCCTATCTTTTAAGTGATCCAATAATATATTTTTTTTTGAATATTATTAGTTTATATAAGTTAGTTAACTCTTTGCAAAATACTTTTCGTTTTGTTCCCTTAAAAAGGGAAGCTAATAGAAAATTTATACGATTTTCTACGTGTCGGTAAATATATCAAAATATTATTTTTAAACTATAAAAATACCATCTTATTTCGGATTTCACTTTAGAAATTGTTAAATTGATACAGATTGATGAAAGAAAATATAATATCAATCATTTCACTTAGAAATTGTTAAATTGATACAGAAAGATGAAAGAAAATATAATATTGAAAATGAGATTAACAAATCTATTCTTGTATGAGAGACGATCTCCCAATATAAAATAATAGTACTACTATTAAGAAATGCTAAAACATATTGTAGAAGCTATTGACCTAATGTTTTTATCATATATACACGAGTATATACTAACTACTAGTGCAAAAACATATATCGAATTTTGAGTAAATTAAGAAGAGTGAAAATCAAGTTAAAAGTAATAAAATGTCTAAAAGACAAGGTTTAAAGAAGCTGCTAAATCACTCAATATGAGTACCTAAGGTGGTCCTCTCACGAGTACACTCCAACTTAAAGTCTCTCTCTCTCTCTCTCTCTCTCTCTCTCTCTCTCTCTCTCTCTCTCTCTCTCTCTCTCNATTGCAAATATTTGGAGAAAGAAAACACCACTCTCTCTGGGTATAGTGTAGTGAAGAACTCTGGGTATAGTGTAGTGAAGAAAGACAATAGTATATTATACCATTTTTCATTAGAGAAATTATGAAATAAAATTCTGAGAGCAGCCACCATATATATAGATATAGAGATAAAGACTTGTGCAGTTAGGGTGAGAAGGACAAATTAAAGGCATGGGCCATCACTGCTGCAGCAAACAGAAAGTAAAAAGAGGTCTTTGGTCTCCAGAAGAAGATGAAAAACTCATCAGACATATTACCTCCCATGGCCATGGCTGCTGGAGTTCTGTTCCTAAATTAGCAGGTCTATATATATTATATACATCTCCCTTTTTGTTCTTTATTGGAAAATTCTTTTTTCTTATTGTTATTTTATATTGAATTGTGTGACCATTTCCTTCAAAAGATTAAGCACATATTTTTATTTACTAAATTATGTCTTCAATAATACGTGTCTCACGTGCAATCTATTCGTTTTTCATGAATCACGGAGGTGTAATTTTTTCTATTACACTATGGTGAAATTACTGAAAATGAGAGAGGCGTGAGTGTCAATCATTCTATCAGCATGCTCAAAGAGTACTCTCCAGAAGATGGTAAGGAGAGAATACACTTACCGCTTCTCTTTCATACCTGAAAAACTTACTCATCCTTTCTATGATAATAAGGTAGCTTTAAGCTATACAAGGGTCGATAGATTTTTTTCTTATAACGGTTGGCGGTGAGACTTGAATCCAGAACTTTTTTTTGATATGATACCTACCATCTTGAATAGTATAACTATCTTATCTAAATGTTTAAGTTGTTTAAAAGAGTACATTTTTATTTACTTTATTATCCGTTTCTAACATTTTGTAGGGTTACAAAGGTGTGGAAAGAGTTGTAGATTGAGATGGATAAATTACTTGAGGCCAGATCTAAGAAGGGGTTCTTTTACTGAGCAGGAAGAAAGAACCATCATTGATGTTCATAGAATCTTGGGAAATAGATGGGCACAAATAGCCAAACATTTACCTGGTAGGACTGATAATGAAGTGAAGAATTTCTGGAATTCTTGCATTAAAAAAAAGCTTATAGCACAAGGGTTAGATCCAAATACTCACAATCTCCTGAAGAACAAAACCAACAATTCAACCAAAGCCAAAACTAATTATCATCAAGATTCCACCTCAGTTTTCACCATTGATACTTCAACAAATAAAGAAGTAATTTCAATGGACATAAAAGCAGCTCTTGCATCCTTCTCTCCTTTCCCTCATGGTAGCAATACTACTACTTGTAATACATACAATTACACTCCTATTGTTCCCAACATTGAATACCAAAACCCTACTTTCACATGGAGTGGTCAAAGAAATCAGACTGCAATAACTACGCCTCCGTCCCAATCAAGTGACAGAAATCACATCATTACTCAAAATTCCATGTTGGATTTTGCGAGCTCTTCTTTAATGGAAAGCTCTACGAATATACGACAAGGAGAAACGGAGTATATAAATGAGAATAGCATGTGGCATGGAACTGGAATTGAACCAACAACCTTAAATCCTGCCAACGGACCTGAAGAATTAATGCAAGTACAACAAGGGGAACAATTTCCAATTCAGACAAATTTTTGTGATCAAGAGGATGTTTACAAGATTAACCATGATCAAACGGTGGAGAATACGTTTGATAGCTCTAACTTTGATTTTGATTTTGTGGACTCTACATTAATGCCTTGTGGATTGTATACTAATGTCAATTCTATGGATCAACTTTCATGGGATTGTTAGTTAAGTTTTACAGAATTTAATTTCTAGCTGTCAGTATATATTTCTTGCATGCTAATTCTGTTGCATTACGTTGTTGGAACAGCTAGCTAGGTATGCAAACCAGCAAACAGAAAATGGTACTTGTCATGTTTGGGCACTATCAATTTGTCGAAACATGATTAATTCAGAAGATTGTTTAACTTGTGAAAATAAAAATGTGTTATATGTCAAAAAGCATGATTAATTGAAAAGATTGATTAACTTGTGGGGAATAAAAAATTGCAATTTGTCTACTGTAACTATCGTCATGATTCCTCCTACTAGTGGTGATGTCCATTCGAAGCATTCACAAATTCTAGAAGCTGCTTATATACTAGACATTGACTTAGTCTAGCTTATCATTTACTTTCGTTTTTATATACTAATGATATTAGGAATCGACGTCAAGACCACCCATGAAGTAGAAATATAGCGAAATATTTTATTTTCCTACCTAGAGAAATGAGAGGTATTTTCCTTCTTTTATTTCTGCATATTTATCTTTGTTTCTCTTTGGGGCGCTGGTCAATTTTCTTACATTTTGCTTTCCCTCTTAAAGATCATGAACGGACACGACAAACTAATAAAAACTTGACGTGGTTTGGGGGGAGAGGAGATAAAAAATAAAAGTGCACTACTTTAATTATAGCTATTAGGTTAGAAGCTTGTTAGCTATGGCGGAATTGAAAGAAAAAAACCCTAGAAGGGTTGAGAGAAGAAGAGAGAGACGAGTGAGTCGGTCAAATGTAATTGACCAAAACTGATTTTATTATTGTGTAAAAACTATTTATATTTACAAGTGTAAAGGAGAAAAATAATTGTAAAAATATTTACATTATGAAACTACAACAGATGTTATAAAAGGGCCTTCCGCTTCCCTTTATCCGGTTAAGCCTGTGTCAACTGGACCTAAGATGTAGCTGGGCTAACACCCCCCCCCCCCAAGCTTGAGAGTGAGAACACACCAAGCTTGCAAAGTAATCCTTGATGAACCTGACCAAGAAGAGCCTTGGTCATGATGTCTGCCAATTGGTTGGTACTGGAGATAAAATGCAAAGAAATCAGACCAGTCTACAAGCAAGTGCGCACATAATGACAGTCAATCTTAATATGTTTGGTGCGCTCGTGAAAAATTGGGTTCTTGGCTGCCTGGTTGTCACAATAGATTGGAACTGGAGTGGAGATAGACAAACCAAGGTCATGCAGCAGCCTGAGTAGCCAAGAAACTTCAGCTGAAACTTTGCGAAGTGCTCTGTATTCAGCTTCAGCTGAAGACAAGGATAAACTGGGTTCTTGGCTGCCTGGTTGTCACAATAGATTTGCGAGAAATGGCACGTGCAGCCCAATCAGAGTCGGAGTAAGCTGTAAGGGATAAATCAGATGAGTTGGAGAGGAGAACCACTTTAGCTGGATCGTTAAGCAAATACCTAAGAACATGTAAGGCTAGCAACATGTGGGGCACTTGAGGTTTTGGAAGAAACTGACTTAAATATTGAACTGAGAAGGAGATATCAGGCCTAGTATGTTAGAAAAAATTGAGCTTCCCAATCAATCTCCTATACAAGCTAGGATCTGAAACAAACTCCCCCATGTCTAAAACCAGCTTCACAGAAGGGTCCAAAGAGGTCATGACAAGAGAGAAATGTTGACAGTTAAATTCAGACAAGAGGTCAGAAGTGTACTTGTATTTGCTCATCACATAACCTTGAGGAAGAAGAGATATCTCTAAATCCAGAAAGTAGTGAACTAAGCCCAGGTCCTTGATTTTAAATTGATCATCCAAGAAGGACTTCAAAGAGTTCATCTCAAGAACATCATTACCAGCAAATAGTATGTCATCAACATACACAGCCAATACAATGAGAGAAGCAGAGGAGACCTTGGTGAATAAAGAATAATCATTCATGCTGGAAATGTAGCCTCTAGATTGCAAAGCTTCAGACAGTTTTGAAAACAACTGTCTAGAAGCTTGCCTAAGGCCATAGAATGACTTCTTGAGTCTGCAAACTAGGGGAGAAGAAGAACAGGGGGCAGACATATCAAGACCAGGTGTAACCTTCATATAAACTTCTTCATGGAGATCTCCATGAAGGAAGGCATTGTTTACATCAAGTTAAAAAATAGTCCAGCCCCACTTAGCAGCTAAAGTGAGCAAGCACTTGATGGTGGTTAACTTGACAACAGGGAAAAAAGTTTCAATGAAATCAATGCCCTCCTTTTGAGTGTCACCCCTAATGACTAACCTGGCCTTATACCTTTCAATAGAACCATCAGCTCTTTGTTTGATTTTGTAAACCCACTTACAAGGAATAGCTTTCTTGTGAGGAGGTAAAGGGATAATATCTCAAGTCTGGTTTGCCTCAAGGACTTGGAATTCCTTTAGCATGGCCTCCTGCCAAGCAGGATATGAGGTAGCCTACTGGTAGAACTGGGGCTCATGCATGTTTATGTCAACAGAAGATACCTTGGAAGAGTTAGGAAGAGAATTAGAGGAAAGGACAGAAGAACATACATAGTCTTTGAGATAGGAAGGTTGTTGGACTGTTCTGGTAGATTTCCTTAAATGTGGAGGAGAAGGGATGACAGAAGGAGACACAGATAGAGGGGTAGGAGAAGCAAATGAGGGAACGGGAGAGTCTTGGGATGCAGAAACAGCAGGAGTAGGAGAAGGGGAAGAAAAGGAGGTTGCAAAATCTACAAAATCCGATGTGGAATAAGAGGAAAAAACAGAAGGATGATCAGATCTATAGGGAAAGATATATTCATGAAAAATCACATCCCTAGAAAATAAAATGGAATGAGTAGTGAGATTAAGAAGTTTGTAACCCTTTTTGCCAAAGGGGTACCCTAAGAAAATAGAAGGAATTTCTCTTGCCTGGAATTTGTCTCTGCCAAACTTAGGTGAAGTAGCAAAGCATAAACATCCAAAAGATTTCAGGTGATCATAAAGTGGAGGGAGGCCATGAAGTTTCTCATANGGTGATCATAAAGTGGAGGGATGCCATGAAGTTTCTCATAAGGGGAGAGATTCTTCAAAACAACAGAAGGAAGTCTATTTATAAGATAAGTGGCAGTTAGAACACAGTCACCCCAATATTAAAGGGGAAGGTTAGATTGAAAAAGAAGAGCCATGGATACTTCCAATAAATGTTTGTGTTTTCTTTCAACCACCCAATTTTGTTGAGGAGTGTGTGGGATAGTGGTCTGATGTATAATGCCTTGGCTTGAGAAGAATTTGGTGGCTTCAGAACTGCCACCAAGTTCAAAGGCATTTTCTGACCTAAAAGTTTGAACAGATGATTGAAAGTGAACTTTGACCATGACAGTAAAAGCTTTAAGGACAAAAGGAGCATTGCTCTTGCAAGAAATAAGGTGAGTCCATGTGGCTCTAGTATAATCATCAACCAAAGTTAGAAAATATCTGAAGCCATTATAAGTTCTAGTGTTATAAGGACCCCAAATGCCAATATGTACTAATTGAAAAGGAGAAGAATAGTGTATAACACTTTCAAAAAAAGGCAATCTCTGTTTTCTTTCTAGTGGACAAACAGGGCACATAAAATTTTGCTTGGAAGATACTTTATCAGACAAGAATGGAATAGTTTTCATTTTATGATAAGGCATGTGTCCTAATCTTTGATGCCAAAACAAGTCCAATTTATTAAGGCAATGTGACTGATTACAAGCATGAGTATCATTAACATGTGTAACAACATGGTTGGACTTATCAGATACAATTGAAACAGAATTTAGTAAAGTACTAGAAGAAGAAACATTCATAGAACTAGATTGAACAGGGAAGAGGTCAGCATCTAGATGGAGATAGTACAGCATGTCTGCAGGTTAACCAATTTCTAATGGCCTCTTCAGGGAAGGGCCCTGTAAAGAACAAATTGTTTTGGTCAAAAGTACTGAACAATCTAGCTGACAGATAAGCTGATGAACTGATATTAAATTGAAGTGAAAGGATGGCACAAGAAGAACATGAAGTAAAATTATATCATGTCTAAGATACAAAGATCCTGTTGATATAACTTTAGCTTTATATCTATTAGGTAAAGTGACAAGAAAAGGCTTGATTAATGGTTGAACATAAAAAAGAAGATGTTTGTGTGGACTCATGTGATTAGTAGCACATGTATCTAAGATCCAAGGATTGAAACCTAATTGAGAGGATGCACACACATGAGAACCCTCAGAATCTACAGCATACTTACTGAACAAACCTACAAAGTGTGCAAAAGCAGAATGGTCCACATTGGAGGCATCAGGTGTGGAAGTATTAGACATTTGAGCTTGTTGGAACAAGGTCAACAAGTGTTGATACTGCTCCTTGGTGAATCCATGGGCTGAGGTATCAGCATGCTGAGAAGTGGAAGTGATAGCAATAGTGGGTGGACTTTCAGTCTGGATACAAGAAGCATACTTCTTACTCCTCGTGAATTTGAAATCATCAGGGAACCCATGAAGTCTGTAGCATTTGTCTACAGTGTGGCCAGGCTTCTTGCAGTACTTGCAAGAGACATTTGGAGCAGTTTTCCTGACCTCAAAATTTACCTTTTAACTGAAATTCCTATTTGTGGTAGAGGTACCAGGAGATACCAAGAAAGAGGTGGCATCACCAGAGAAGTTTGGAGCAGCAGAATGAGCTTCTCTTTGACTCTCATCTTGCTATAGGAGGCTATAAGCTTTGCTGATTGGTGGAAGGGAATTCATCAACATAATGCCACTCTTAACAGTTATGTAGGACTCATTAAGACCATTAAGAAATTGGAACAACTGTTGATCTTCTATGAACTTAGGCAGTGCACCACATGAACAAACAGGACCTACATATGATGAATTCAGCTCATCCCACAAACTCCTCATTTTGGGGAAGTAAGAAGTTATATCAGAGGAGCCTTGAGCAGTAGAGTTGATCTCCCTTTGTATTTCGATATATTTAGACCCATTTGATTGACCAAACCTTTCATTTACATCTTTCCAAACTTCCTTAGTAGTTTTAAAACACATGACACTAGCAGCTATTTTTCTAGA